CATTCAGCAACCTGAGGAGACATGCAGCGTTTAGAGAACATTCAGCAACTTGACAACACATGCAGCATCTAGAGAACATTCAGCAACTTGAGGAGAGATGCAGCGTTTAGAGAACATTCAGCAACTTGACAACACATGCAGCATCTAGAGAACATTCAGCAACTTGACAACACATGCAGCATCTAGAGAACATTCAGCAACTTGAGGAGACATGCAGCATCTAGAGAACATTCAGCAACTTCACAACACATGCAGCATCTAGAGAACATTCAGCAACTTCACAACACATGCAGCATCTCGAGAACATTCAGCAACTTGACAACACATGCAGCATCTAGAGAACATTCAGCAACTTGAGGAGACATGCAGCATCTAGAGAACATTCAGCAACTTGAGGAGACATGCAGCATCTAGAGAACATTCAGCAACTTCACAACACATGCAGCATCTCGAGAACATTCAGCAACTTGACAACACATGCAGCATCTAGAGAACATTCAGCAACTTGACAACACATGCAGCATCTAGAGAACATTCAGCAACTTGACAACACATGCAGCATCTAGAGAACATTCAGCAACTTGACAACACATGCAGCATCTAGAGAACATTCAGCAACTTGACAACACATGCAGCATCTAGAGAACATTCAGCAACTTGACAACACATGCAGCGTCTAGAGAACATTCAGCAACTTGACAACACATGCAGCATCTAGAGAACATTCAGCAACTTGACAACACATGCAGCATCTAGAGAACATTCAGCAACTTGACAACACATGCAGCATCTAGAGAACATTCAGCAACTTGAGGAGACATGCAGCATCTAGAGAACATTCAGCAACTTGAGGAGACATGCAGCGTCTAGAGAACATTCAGCAACTTGACAACACATGCAGCATCTAGAGAACATTCAGCAACTTGAGGAGACATGCAGCGTCTAGAGAACATTCAGCAACTTGAGGAAACATGCAGCATCTAGAGAACATTCAGCAACTTGACAACACATGCAGCATCTAGAGAACATTCAGCAACTTGACAACACATGCAGCGTCTAGAGAACATTCAGCAACTTGAGGAGACATGCAGCATCTAGAGAACATTCAGCAACTTGACAACACATGCAGCATCTAGAGAACATTCAGCAACTTGACAACACATGCAGCGTCTAGAGAACATTCAGCAACTTGAGGAGACATGCAGCATCTAGAGAACATTCAGCAACTTGAGGAGACATGCAGCGTCTAGAGAACATTCAGCAACTTAACAACACATGCAGCATCTAGAGAACATTCAGCCACTTGACAACACATGCAGCATCTAGAGAACATTCAGCAACTTGAGGAGAAATGCAGCGTCTAGAGAACATTCAGCAACTTAACAACACATGCAGCATCTAGAGAACATTCAGCAACTTGAGGAGACATGCAGCATCTAGAGAACATTCAGCAACTTGAGGAGACATGCAGCGTCTAGAGAACATTCAGCCACTTAACAACACATGCAGCATCTAGAGAACATTCAGCAACTTGACAACACATGCAGCATCTAGAGAACATTCAGCAACTTAACAACACATGCAGCATCTAGAGAACATTCAGCAACTTGACAACACATGCAGCATCTAGAGAACATTCAGCAACTTGACAACACATGCAGCATCTAGAGAACATTCAGCAACTTGACAACACATGCAGCGTCTAGAGAACATTCAGCAACTTGACAACACATGCAGCGTCTAGAGAACATTGTTACTGCCGGGCCGCAAAATAGCTATGAGTTTATCGTAATATTTGCAGAATTATAAATATATAAAAATATTTTATCATAATATTTTTTTCAAAAAGTGTTTAATTTTCGCACCTGTGCCACCAGTCATATTATTTCATCCAGTAGCTAGTTAATCTTTCACCAGAAAACCGTTGAAAATGGCTTTTATGATGTTCCGAGGGATTCGGCGGCTCAGCCTAAGGTCTCAGCCTCTTGTGCGCACGAGAATGTTACCGGTGCGCCAAGTAGGAAGAGGAGCGCACAGGAGACAACCGTTTGATTGCAGACTGTTATGTTTATGTGGGGAAATGGTGGTGCATACATTATTTGAGATATATTTCAAACTCGGACTTCATTTTAAGGACATGTCGGCCAGGGGTGTAGAGCTATTTGTTTAAGCACCGGATTGGCAAAACAGGAGAGTAAACCAGTATGCCTTGATCTATGGATTAATGTCCGGGACTCTCACGGTATCTGCTGCCCGCAGCTGTTTTATAGAAGAAAAACCTCCTTCACTTCATGAAATGGCTGCAGCATCAGGAGGCAGCAGGACGTATACTCCGCCTCTGAGAAGTGCAGCACCAGCAGGTAAAGAGCTGTGCCTTTTTACGCACCGCCTTCGCTGTGTTTAACTTCATCAGAACAGTTTAAGAGTGACTGCAGGCTGCTACGTGTTAACCACACACACCTCTACACACATCTCTACACACATCGAACTGCCCGATTACTCCCCCTTTTATTAGTTTTATGAAGGAGATGTCCAGTTAGTCACCAAGGCGCATGATGTGTATGTGCTCTGCTCAGCTCAGCTCTGTGTGTTCGGTCGGTGTGTTTGTGTCTGTCCGACACCGGCATTTGTTTCCAAATGTTTATGAACAGTAATTTACACACATATAACTAAATCCATATATGCGGCCCTAAATAATGTCATCACACACACACACACACACACACACACACACACACACACACACACACACACACACACACACACACACACACACACACACACACACACACACACACACACACACACACACACACACACACCCACACACATACACACACACAAAGTGAAATATGTCTCCTCTGTAACACTCTGTCTAAACATGTTTCCTGTATGACGATGAGCTTTTGTGCTGCCCTCAATGATGTCATCACACACACCACACACACACACACACACACACACACACACACACACACACACACACACACACCACACACACACACACACACACACACACACACACACACACACACACACACACACACACACACACACACACACACCCTGGCGACCGGACATCTCCTTCATAATGCGCCTTCTCCTCGTTTTCCCAGCATTCACTGGATTATCCGTAAATCATACAAACAAAACTAAAACGTTGATTTATCTGTTTTCCCGTTTTGGTTTAAAAACTGAATAACGTCGGTGTTTTGGTTTTCCGAAAAACCAAAAAACAACACCGGTTCTTTTTTAAACTTTGTTAATATGTTTTGGATGCATTATGTTCTAGTATTTGTTCAGGCTGTTACATACAATTAGCCTCTGTTGCTACCTGCTGGTGGTGAGTAAATATTAAAATCAGTTAAAATTGACAACTGGTCCGCGATTTTTTTTTAATGTATCTGCCGGTCCTTGGCACAATAAAGGTTGGGAACCCCTGATCTAGAGAACATTCAGCAACTTGACAACACGTGCAGCATCTAGAGAACATTCAGCAACTTGACAACACGTGCAGCATCTACAGAACATTCAGCAACTTGACAACACGTGCAGCATCTAGAGAACATTCAGCAACTTGAGGAGACATGGTCTGGTGGAGAGGAAAGAAAGAGACAAACATATAAATAAATCCTCATCACAGTGTGTGTATGTGTGTGTGTGTGTATATGTATGTGTGTGTGTGATCTATTTTCAGCTCAGTTATAATGTGCACCAGGCAGAGCAGCCTCATAATAATCTTAGCGTTAGCATGACAACACGTTAACATGACAACACGTTAGCATGACAACACGTTAGCACGACAACACGTTAGCACAACAACACGTTAGCACGACAACACGTTAGCACGACAACACGTTAGCACGATAACACATTAGCACGACAACAGTTTAGCACAACAACACGTTTACATGACAACACGTTAGCACGACAACACGTTAGCATAATAACACGTTAGCACGACAACACGTTGACACTACACTAAAACGTTTTGAATTTGTTTTTATTATTTCAAGTTTCTTTTTCTCACATTTCCAACGATGTTCAAACCCAGGAGAAGACTACAACTGTCTGCCACGCTGCATCACCACCACTTCAGATGGAGAGTGTACTAGTGTTTGGGGAAAGAGTTTTTTCAGAGAGAAAAAAAAAGTTGAAATGTTTTTATTTTCCCACGTGTGTTTTGGCCCCTCAGGGCCTCCGTATGGAGCCTCTTCATTAGAGAGAGAGAGAGTTATAGAGAGACAGAGAGAGAGAGAGAGAGAGAGAGAGAGAGAGAGAGAGAGAGAGAGAGAGAGAGAGAGAGAGAGAGAGCGAATAGAGACGAGAGAGAGGGATTGTAGAGAGAGAGAGGAGAGTGAGAGAGAGAGAGAGAGAGAGAGAGAGAGAGAGAGAGAGAGAGAGAGAGAGAGACAGTTATAGATCTCTCTCTCTCAGACTTTCCCACATTAACTCCTGAACCATAAAAGGACTGGGAGGTCTTTCTGGGCTCAGTTTCTCCAGATAGGAACTCTGAAGAAGACCCTCCACCTGCTCTGGATCCACTTTAACTCTGAAGACACTCTGGATCCACTTTAACTCTGAAGACCCTCTGGATCCACATTAACTCTGAAGAAGACCCTCCACCTGCTCTGGATCCACATACTATATTTTTATTATAATTTTTTTACGTTATTATAGTTTTTCTTAAAATAGTTTTCTATCTGTGTTTTGAATTGTTGTTTTACTTTTGTGTCTGCACCACGACACCAAGTCAAATTCCTCTTACGTGTCGACCCACCTGGTGATAAACCTGATTCTGGTTCTGATTCTGATTCTGATCTGACATTAACTCTGAAAAGGACCCCCTGCTGCTCTGGATCCACATGAACCCCCTAAAGACCCTCTGAAGACCCTCTGGGTCCACATTAACCCTCTAACGGCCCTCTAAAGACCCTCTGAAGACCCTCTGAAGACCCTCTGGGTCCACATTAACCCTCTAAAGAAGACCCCCCATGAGTATGTGGACTAACGGCTCCTCCTCTGAGCTCCAGCCCAGGATTGAGGCTCCTCTCCTGGGCACTAACTCGTCCTCAGACCCCCCTCTGGACCCCCCTCTGGTTCTGGTGCGGGCGGTTCTGGTGGGTCTGGTTCTGGGCTCCTTCATCCTGTTTGCCATCGTGGGGAACATCCTGGTGATCCTGGCGGTGGTTTGTAACAGAAACCTCCGGACGCCGACCAACTACTTCATCATCAACCTGGCCCTCGCTGACCTGCTGCTGGGGAGCACCGTGCTGCCGGTGTCCGCCTCTCTGGAGGTCAGTGAACGCACCACCACAACCTCTCTCAAACACTTAAAGTATTACATCAAATACAAATATATAAAAAAAACTAACTGAAATAACACACATAAAAATAACATGTAATAGGTCAGTGAACGCACCGCCAGAACGTCTCTATAATACATCAAGTATTACATCAAATACAAATATATGAGAAAATATGTGTACCTGTGTGCCTGTGTGCAGGTCCAGGTGTTTCAGGTGAGGGTTAGGTGTTATTAAATATTAGTTTATATTTATATTGTGCTTCCTGTCCCCAGGTGTTGGATCACTGGGTGTTTCAGGCAGTGTTCGAAATGGGGGGGAGCCCAACATTTTTTTGCATATTTGTGTCACACAGATTAGAAATGTTGAGTTTCTGTAAATAACAGTTCTTGAAATAAATAATAGTCATTGTTCATGACAGTTTCTGAATATTTGTTTTATATTTGTAAATATTTCTGGGTGTTGCCATCTGTACGTGGTGGCGCTGCATTCTTTACGCTACTTACGTTGCTATGGTTACGGCGGTGATGCCGGCGCGGTATTTGAAATGTTCATATTGATATTCTTTTTTTAAATAACACTGGTTTCAGGTGTGTTCAGGTGTTTCAGGTGTGTTCAGGTGTGTTCAGGTGTTTCAGGTGTGTTCAGGTGTTTCAGGTGTTTCAGGTGTGTTTCAGGTGTCTCAGGTGTGTTTCAGGTGTGTTTCAGGTGTTTCAAGTGTGTTTCAGGTGTGTTTCAGGTGTTTCAGGTGCTTTAGGTGTGCTTCCTCTCCACAGATCCTGGACCACTGGGTGTTTCAGGTGTTTCAGGGGTGTTTCAGGTGTGTTTCAGGTGTTTCAGGTGTTTCAGGTGTTTCAGGTGTTTCATGTGTGTTTCAGGTGTTTCAGGTGTGTTTCAGGTGTGTTTCAGGTGTTTCAGGTGTTTCAGGTGTTTCAGGTGTTTCAGGTGTTTCAGGTGTTTCAGGTGTTTCATGTGTGTTTCAGGTGTTTCAGGTGTTTCAGGTGTTTCAGGTGTTTCAGGTGTTTCATGTGTGTTTCAGGTGTTTCAGGTGTTTCAAGTGTGTTTCAGGTGTCTCAGGTGTTTCAGGTGTGTTTCAGGTGTTTCAGGTGTGCTTCCTCTCCACAGATCCTGGACCACTGGGTGTTTGGTCGTGTGTTCTGCGATGTTTGGGCAGCTCTGGACGTTCTCTGCTGCTCGGCCTCCATCTTGTCTCTGTGCCTGATCTCCATCGACCGCTTCGTGGGCGTCTCTCGCCCGCTGCAGTACCGCTGCATCGTCACGGAGACCAGGGCGCTGCTCGGCATGCTGGGAGTCTGGATCCTCGCCGCTGTCATCTCCGTGGGACCGCTGTTCGGCTGGAAGCAGCCGCCCGCACAGGTACAAACATTACCCAGCATGCATGTTGGTAAAATCCTGAATGTCCTCTTCAATCTGAGAGTAACATGATAACAAAGGTATCCCAACTGTAGCTGTGTGCATGACAGGATGTATGATTACCTAGAAGAGCATCAGGACTGTTTTAGGCATATGATAGCTATGTGATTAACATGATGATTCAGCCTCTATGGAGATAGACATATGACGAGCATGATCATTTCTGATGTGGAGCTAATCTGAAGTAAACATTGAATACTGCTTTATATTCCTCCATCTTGTGACTGTGTAACTCCCTCTCTTGGATATCAGCATGTGAAGGACACTGTTCAGGAACTAGTTGATGCTCTGTATGTGATGACTACTTCCATTCTGGAGAGGATCACAAATACATGGATCCTGAGATTGAAGCTCAAGCCGGGGACCAGTGATTATTAACATTTTTAAGTATTCAGAAAAAGTCCGAATTTTGAAAAAAAAGTCAGAATTTTGAGAAAAGGTCAGAATTTTGTGATTTTGAGAAAAAGTCAACATTTTGAGAAAATGTCAGAATTTTGAGAAAAAGTTAGACTTTTGAGAAAAAGTTAGAATTTTTTGAAAAAGTCAGAATTTTGTGATTTTGAGAAAAAGTCAACATTTTGAGAAAATGTCAGAATTTTGAGAAAAAGTTAGACTTTTGAGAAAAAGTTAGACTTTTGAGATTTTGAGAAAAAGTCAGAATTTTGAGAAAAGGTCAGAATTTTGTGATTTTGAGAAAAAGTTAACATTTTGAGAAAATGTCAGAATTTTGAGAAAAAGTTAGACTTTTGAGAAAAAGTTAGACTTTTGAGAAAAAGTTAGACTTTTGAGATTTTGAGAAAAAGTCAGAATCTTTTGAAAAAGTCAGAATTTTTTGAAAAAGTCAGAATTTTTAGATTTTGGAGAACAAGTCGAATTTTGGAGAAAAAGTCAGAATTTTGAGAAAATGTCGAGATTTTGAGAAAAAAGCCAACATTTGAAAGTAAACTCAGTATTTTGTACATGACAGGATGTATGATTACCAAGAAGAATCGGTATTCCTCCATCTTGTGACTGTGTAACTCCCTCTCTTGGATATCAGCATGTGAAGGACACTGTTCAGGAACTAGTTGATGCTCTGTATGTGATGACTACTTCCATTCTGGAGAGGATCAGAAACACATGGATCCTGAGATTGAAGCTCAAACCGGGGACCAGTGAGATTATTCTAACAGTGCACCGCTGAAGCCCCTGAGTTGACCCCTGAGTTGACCCCTGAGTTGACCCCTGAGTTGACCCCTGACCCTGCTGTTCCTCCTCAGGACTCCTCGGTGTGTCTCATCACGGAGGAACCGTTCTACGCTCTGTTCTCCTCACTCGGGTCCTTCTACTTCCCGCTCTTCATCATCCTCTTCATGTACTTCCGGGTCTATGTGGTGGCCAAGCGCACCACCAGGAACCTGGAGGCCGGCGTGATGCAGGAGCGCCAGGCGGGGTCTCAGGAACTCACGCTGAGGATCCACTGCAGGAACCAGAACCAGAGCCACAACCAGAGCCAGAACCAGGTGCCTTAAACACTCACAACATCAGCAAATAACAACATAGAAACACATTAAAGCACAGACACAGAAATGGTTGGAGTTTAAATATTATATTGTTTTCCAACAGCATAAGAGACAGATTACCCTTCATCAAATGGGCCGAGAACATGCCTACAGTTTACTATATTTGACTATATTTTCTATTATTTTAAATATTTTTTATGTTTTTATAGTTTTCTTGTAATAGTTTTATATCTGTGTTTTTAATTTTTGTTTTACTTTTATGTCTGCACCATGACACCAAGTCAAGTTCCTCGTACGTGTCAACCTACCTGGTTATAAACCTGGTTCTGGTTCTACAGGAGAAGAGAATATATTTATACACCTTTTGAACTCCACCATTGGATCTTACACAGTCAGATGTAAACACAACAGTGTACCTTCTGACATGGTGTGATCACGTACACATGACACTGAAAGCTCAGTCTTCATGGAGAGACTTTGTGTACCAGATGGCCCCTTGCCAGAAAACTAAAAGATGAACTCATGACTTACAGAACTTTATTTTATGTCCATGATTCCCAGGATCCAGGTCGCAGCGCTCTGAGCCTCAAACTGATGAAGTTCTCCAGAGAGAAGAAGGCGGCGAAGACTCTGGGCGTGGTGGTGGGGATGTTCGTCCTCTGCTGGCTGCCCTTCTTCCTCGCCCTGCCCCTCGGTACCATCACTCTTATATTCATAATGATGCATGAATGATTCCTGGATGTTATCCTCTGCAGACCATTAACATGCACTAACACCTATAGCAGTGGTTCTCAACTGGTGGGACCCACTTTTGGGTCGCGGACCCCTTTTGAGTTGGTCACGGTGCGAGTGAAAACTAAAATGTGAGAAAAAAAAAAGTCCAACTTTTATTTGGAAGGCCGGAATTTCTAAGCCACTTGTCTGGAAATCCCGGAGACTAGAAACTTTCACGTCTGGTGAATTTGCAGGATTGGCTCCAGGTCGCCCTTTTTATTGATTACAGTTCAATTTTGATTCTAGAACCTTGATGCCCATCACCAGTTCAAACTTGTTTAAAAAGCATACTGTAGTTCTGTGAGGGATATAATCTGCATGGCACTGACATGTTGAGGATGTGGTTTTGTTCCATGGACTACATTTACTGAAATGTATGCTCTGTTCTTCACTTCACTTCAAAGTGTCTGCTGAGAAACATTTATATATATTACTGCGCTATTTTTGGTGAAATACATTGGAGTGTTTCAGACCTTTGGGTCGGGATTTATTGACAAAGAGAAAAAGTCCTGAGGCGTGACCAGTTGAGAACCACTGACCTATAGACACACTGCAGGAGAAGTCTCTTTGAAGTCTCTTTTGGTGCTTTTCCACTGCAGGACCTCGCACGGCCTAGTACGGTATGGTTAGGCCTTGGTAGGCCAGGCTCACTTTATGCTGCGTTTCCATTACAGTTTACCAACTGGGGTAGTAAATATAGCAACGCAGGGTAGGCGGGGCGATCGGCTGTTCGGCGGGCGGAGCGACGCTGCGTAAAACTGCCGTGACGTCATCTTCAATGCGAACCACAAAACCAAACATCAGCAAACTGTTAGCACTCAGAGCTCACAGCTCCTCATATTTGTTCAGAAACTAGACAACAGTTAAACAAGTACAAACCACAGACTGTCTGTGTCATGGCGAGTACAGTCGCTGGTTTATTTATGTCTGTATAGGCCGTTGTTGTGAGTGTGGACGGTCGGAGCATATACTGCGTTAGCTTAGCCGATCTCCATTCAGAAAACACGCATTTTAAAAGGTGTTTCGCCTGCCGTCTGTCTGCAGACTTGTCAAAGCATTAATTCATGGTTTTTACTAACCGGTATCAGTATGTTGTTACTTCGGCATAATTTTGAAACGTGTATTACAATTAAATCAGCGATTCTCTCTGACCATTCAGCAGTCGAGAGTGTTTACGTCACGAGTTTAGCATATTCAGGTAAGAACATCGATTTTGGAGGGCCAGAAAAAAGGAGAAAAAGTAGCCCTGGGCCGGAACTACCCCTAGTGGAAAAGCAAAACAGCTAAAACCGTGCTACGTGCTGCAGCGGAAAAGCGCCATTTGTGTCTCTTTGAAGTGTTTGTGAGTCTCTTTGAAGTCTCTTTGAAGTCATCTTGAGTCTCTCTGAAGTTATTTTGAGTCTCTTTGAAGTCATTTTGTGTCTCTTTAAAGTCATTTTGAGCATCTTTGAAGTCTCTTTGAAGTCTCTTTGAAGTCATCTTGATTCTCTTTGAAGTCATTTTGAGTCTCTCCGAAGTCATTTGTGTCTCTTTGAAGTCTCTCTGAAGTCAATTTGAGTCTTTCCGAAGTCATTTGTGTCTCTTTGAAGTCATTTTGTGTCTCTCCGAAGTCATTTGTGTCTCTTTAAAGTCATTTTGTGTCTCTCCGAAGTCATTTGTCTCTCTTTGAAGTCATTTTGTGTCTCTCCGAAGTCATTTGTGTCTCTTTGAAGTCATTTTGTGTCTCTTTGAAGTCATTTTGAGTCTCTTTGAAGTTTTTGTAACGCACTGCAAATGGTTGTATGTCTGCAGACGAGCTGCTCCTGCACACTGTTGTTATAATAATGATCAAAGTGAAGATCTTTGGGTTAGAATAACTTTGTTTCTGAGGATTTCCAAACTTGGAGAAACATGCAGCAGTGATGCATCATGGGAAGGTTTTTCTGCGGGTTTTCGTGCCGAGGTTCAGGAGAGCAGCCTGAGGCAGTATGGCCTTACAAGTCCATACTGAGGGAGAAATAATCCCTTCAGAAGCCTCCGATAAACTCCGTCTGAGGAGAGAAGTCCTCATAAGACCTCATAAGTCCTCATAAGACCTCATAAGTCCTCATAAAATCTGATATCACTCCGACACGCCGAACATCACCTCCATATCTGCAGGTCAACCACTGTGAGGAGGGGAGAGTATTTTAATATATAAAAGCACATACTTATATTAATACTGTGTGTGTGTGTGTGTGTGTGTGTGTGTGTGTGTGTGTGTGTGTGTGTGTGTGTGTGTGTGTGTGTGTGTGTGTCTGTGTGTGTGTGTAGGCTCCTTCATCAGCAGTCTTCGTCCTCCTGAGACGTTTTTCAAAGTGATCTTCTGGTTGGGATATTTCAACAGCTGCCTGAACCCCATCATCTACCCCTGTTACAGCAGGGAGTTCAAACAGGTAGTACTACTAATACTAATAATACTAATACTACTACTAATACTACTAATACTGCTAATGCTAATACTACTACTAATACTACTACTAATACTACTACTACTAATACTAATACTACTACTAATACTACTACTAATACTACTACTAATACTACAAATACTAATACTACTACTAATACTACTACTAATACTACTAATACTAATACTAATACTAATACTAATACTACTAATACTAATACTACTACTAATACTACTACTAATACTACTACTAATACTACCATCATCTACCCCTGTTCTTCCGTGATCCTCTGTTGATGTTTTATGGTTCCGTGTTCCTCTGATGATGTGTTGCTGTTCCGTGTTCCTCTGATGATGTGTTGTTGTTCCGTGTTCCTCTGTTGATGTGTTGCTGTTCCGTGTTCCTCTGTTGATGTGTTGCTGTTCCGTGTTCCTCTGTTGCTGTTCCGTGTTCCTCTGATGATGTGTTGTTGTTCCGTGTTCCTCTGATGATGTGTTGTTGTTCCGTGTTCCTCTGTTGATGTGTTGCTGTTCCGTGTTCCTCTGTTGATGTGTTGCTGTTCCGTGTTCCTCTGTTGATGTTCCGTGTTCCTCTGATGATGTGTTGTTGTTCCGTGTTCCTCTGTTGCTGTTCCGTGTTCCTCTGATGATGTGTTGTTGTTCCGTGTTCCTCTGATGATGTGTTGCTGTTCCGTGTTCCTCTGTTGATGTTCCGTGTTCCTCTGTTGATGTGTTGCTGTTCCGTGTTCCTCTGTTGATGTTCCGTGTTCCTCTGATGATGTGTTGTTGTTCCGTGTTCCTCTGATGATGTGTTGTTGTTCCGTGTTCCTCTGTTGATGTTTTATGGTTCCGTGTTCCTCTGTTGATGTGTTGTTGTTCCGTGTTCCTCTGTTGATGTTCCGTGTTCCTCTGATGATGTTTTATGGTTCCGTGTTCCTCTGTTGATGTGTTGCTGTTCCGTGTTCCTCTGTTGATGTGTTGTTGTTCCGTGTTCCTCTGTTGATGTGTTGTTGTTCCGTGTTCCTCTGTTGATGTTATGATGTTCTGTGTCAGGCTTTTATCCGGATCCTGCGCTGCCGCTGGCGTCGGAGGCGTCCAAGCTTCAAAGGTTCTGCCGGTTCTTCGTGTCGGCAGAACTCCGGCAGCTCGTCCTTCCTGAGCGGGAGCCGGCAGCCGCTGTCCAGAAGCCCCGTCCCCAGGCCCCGCCCCACGTGAAGCCCCGCCCCACGTGAAGCCCCGCCCCGCGTGACGCCCCGCCCCATTCTAAATATTTATAATGTTCGTGATGTTTAAAATGTTATAATTGTTCTAAATGTTCCAAACTTCAAAAGTAAATTGAAAACAAAGTACAACATAATTATTATTTTTTAGGAGTTAGGGTTTGAAATGTGTCGCTGAGTAAAACTGACTGCAGACGAGTGGGAAAGAAACAACAGGAAACTAATTAATAAAAAACTATAGAAATGAAACTTTTAGGACAGGATTTAGTTTTAGATTTATTTGTTGATGTTTTTTACATTTCTGTTTTTTATTTTGCAAAAGAGCCGAATATAGTGAGATATGATATTATTATTCAACTTTAAATGAGACAATGCTGTTAAAACTATACATGAAATCATGCAGATTTTTTTTTTTAGTTTGTTTAAATAACCAACTTTAGTTTAAGTTATTATTCTTTGACCTGTTCAACCCGGAGGCCCCTGCCCGCGGGGGCTGCGTTGTTTTTTCTTCTTCACGAAACTGTGTCTCAGGGCTTCTTAACATTTAAAAACCTTAATGTGTCATACCCGATTAAAGGTGGGGTAGGTAAGTTTGAGAAACCGGCTCGAGATACACTTTTTGTTATATTCCATGGAATGCTCTTAACATCCCGATAGCAATGAATATCTTAAGTGCTTTGACCAAAAATCCATAAAATAATGTCATCTGTGGAAGCCGTAATACTGTAAAAAGCACGACCAATCATTTTAGCCGGCCCGGCTAAAATAACTGGATGGCCTACCTGCCTGTCAGCCTTCCATCTGTGCACAAACTTATCTCGTGCCCTCATTGGTCATGTGCGCGTTCGTGTGTGTTGGAGGAGGGGCTCTATAAGGAAGTGGCAGATTTTCTCCGGTTGTGTATTTTCAAATTCTAGCAATCTCGAGCCGGTTTCTCAAACGTACCTACCCCACCTTTAACGGGAAGAAACTCAGCTAACTGACGATACGAACCATTTTTATCCTTATTACATATCGGATGTGCACAAACAAGATATCGATTAGCAAGCTGAGATTCCACAGATTCTAGGGGTACAAGTGATCAAAACTCGCAAAAACAGACATCACAACACGGAGCTTTACGAAGCAAAAACGGGACATTGTCTTACATTAGCTGTTGTTCTGATCAAAAGTTGTGTTCAATGGCATTAAAACGATAAAAACGCTGCTGAAGGTTAATCCATAGGTTAATCCAATGTGTCTGTCACTTTGAAATGGTTACTGATAATCCATCTTCATATTTATATCAATAACAGAGTTTTCATATTAGCTGCTATGATAGCCACCAGAGTGTATGACAGCCTCCTGTTTTGGGCATTCTGGCTGCGCATCACTCATTCACCAATGGGTAATGTTTAAATGGATTTTAGGAACCTCCCCTCGATTCTATTGGCTCTAATGGTTCAACAGAGGTGTCAATCATCAAAATCAAACAAGGGGGGCCAGAGATAGGTCAAATCCACCCAAATGACCCAAGAAGTGGGTTTTGTTTTCTAAACCTCTCTAAAAAGGTCAAATGTCACTTGTTTTGCATCAATCTTGATACATGGTACTTATTATATGTTATAGTTTGGATTCCTAAAGCTTTTAGTCTACTAACCCATCATCCAAGTGTAGTTTTCACCAGGGCCGTCCCTCACTACAGGCCAATCATGCAGACTGCGTGGGGCCTCATCTTGCGGAGGGAGCCTCAACTGAGCCGCACCTATGCGCTTATGCGGCGCAATTAGTGTGGATCTGCTTTTCAGTAATGTTTTCCTTTTGGACGGACACTATAATTAAAATTGTTTTACTATGTTCAATCTGAATTTACTTTAAAATAAAAAAATTCTATATTGATTCTGACTTTTCTACGTCCAACTCACAGGTTTATCATTACTTTGAGAAAAAAAATTATTAATTTAACCCTTTTAGAAGTGAAGTTATAGTAATTTGTTCTGGGAATGTCATTTTCGAGCCTGAGACCTGAAAAACAGGCTCAGGGCTTAAGAGGTTAAGGTATTTATTTATTCTAATGAAGAGAATGTGTTCACATTTTCTAGGGGAACTACAGCTGCTGTGTGTGTGTGTGTGTATGTGTGTGTGTGTGTGTGTGTGTGTGTGTGTGTGTGTGTGTGTGTGTGTGTGTGTGTGTGTGTGTGTCAGTTTCATTTCGCATTCCTACAGATTTGATCTTTCCTCAGTGTGTCAGAGTTTAAAAACAACACACACACACACACACACACACACACACACACACACACACACACACACACACACACACACACACACACACACACACACACACCTACATTCCTGCAGCAGGTCGGACTCGTTGGACATTTCTCTGACTGCACTGTAAAAACATCCTGACAGCTGATTGGTGCAGGTGTGTTCCCTCCCACCAATCACAGCACTTGTTGTTCCCATGTGATCTCTGTAGGCAGGTTCTCTCTCACACACACACACACACGGAGTGAGAAGATTTGACGGTTCAGTTTGTATGCAGAAAGCTGAAACAGGAACACAGAGAAACACCACATGTTCTGACAGAGACACACAGGTAAATATATTGACAGGTGAACACACACACACACACACACACACACACACACACACACACACACACACACACACACACACACACACACACACACACACACACACACAGGTGAGCAGTATCTTTGCACTCAGGAGTTTAATACAACACGGCAAGAAACGGCTGTTATTATCAGGAGGTAATATTCAGTTTGGTGTGTGTGTGTGTGTGTGTGTGTGTGTGTGTGTGTGTGTGTGTGTGTGTGTGTGTGTGTGTGTGTGTGTGTGTGTGTGTGTGTGTGTGTGTGTGTGTGTGTGTGTGTGTAGTTTTACCAACGTACCATGAACCATGAGTGACTTTTGTAGATATTTAACACAAACGCTAATTGTTAGGTAGCTTGTGTTCTTAATTTCTCATGTTCATTAATTCTACGGAAATTCATTCTGTATTTTTTTTAACCTCAAAGCTGATTTATTGGTCCTAATTCCTCCAAAGGTTTGTAACGTTATTCTTACTTGTCGCTCAAAACAATCTTTTTCGTTTTTTTTAAAGTTTTCGTGCCGATGTGTAACTTCAGAAATGATTTGAATCCAAACGTTGAATTATTCGTCACGTAAATGCCATACTGAATAATGTCACATTTTGAGGTATTTTAATGGACCTCATTGTCACGTGAGTTTCGTACGTAAATAACGCAACTTACATAATAATAATAATAATAATAATAATAATAATAGATGTAATTGATAAAGCGCATGTAAAGGCCCCTTTGCATGAGGTGAGGATAACAATAATGAAGTAAAATAAATAGGAGTAAAGGCAGTGAAGTGTGATGGGTCAGGGGTCAAAGGTCACGGTCACTTTAACAAAGTTTACCTGTGCTATATGCAGGTAACTTATGAACTAAACCCATTCTTTAGTTATTTAACACACATTTCCACTTATGTGTCCCGTGACGTTCGTGGGAATCTTTAGGAAACGTACGTAAGTTACGTGACTTACTAAAGTTTCATTAAAGTTTCACATGACTTTAGTCGTTATTTTAACACTAACGTGGATTTAATTTGCACCGTTAGTCATAACAGAAAATCCTATTTTGTTAACCAAACACATTTGTGTCGTTATTTTAACACAAACGTTGATCAGCCCTTTATATTTACTAGTTATTTCTTGTCTTTAATGCATGTGTGTCTCTCTGTATGTTACCACAGATGAACCCCCCTCCTCCTCCTCCGGTCCCGAAGCCCCGGGCTCGTTACATGAGGGACAGTTTGACGTCTCTGGACAGGTGAGCGCACCTTTAGGTCTGTGGTTACCTGAGTCTCTGCTCGTTACCTGAGTCTCTGCTCGTTACCCGAGTCTCTGCTCGTTACGTCTCTGCTCGTTACCCGCGTCTCTGCTCGTTACCTGAGTCTCTGCTCGTTACGTCTCTGCTCGTTACCTGAGTCTCTGCTCGTTACCTGAGTCTCTGCTCGTTACGTCTCTGCTCGTTACCTGAGTCTCTGCTCGTTACCAGAGTCTCTGCTCTTTACCTGAGTCTCTGCTCGTTACCTGAGTCTCTGCTCGTTACGTCTCTGCTCGTTACCAGAGTCTCTGCTCGTTACCTGAGTCTCTGCTCGTTACCTGAGTCTCTGCTCATTACGTCTCTGCTCGTTACCCGCGTCTCTGCTCGTTACCTGAGTCTCTGCTCGTTACCTGAGTCTCTGCTCGTTACCTGAGTCTCTGCTCGTTACCTGAGTCTCTGCGCGTTACCTGAGTCTCTGCTCGTTACGTCTCTGCTCGTTACCTGAGTCTCTGCTCGTTACGTCTCTGCTCGTTACCTGAGTCTCTGCTCGTTACCTGAGTCTCTGCTCATTACCTGAGTCTCTGCTCGTTACGTCTCTGCTCGTTACCTGAGTCTCTGCTCGTTACCTGAGTCTCTGCTCGTTACCTGAGTCTCTGCTCGTTACCTGAGTCTCTGCTCGTTACCTGAGTCTCTGCTCGTTACGTCTCTGCTCGTTACCTGAGTCTCTGCTCGTTACCTGAGTCTCTGCTCGTTACGTCTCTGCTCGTTACCTGAGTCTCTGCTCGTTACCTGAGTCTCTGCTCGTTACCTGAGTCTCTGCTCATTACGTCTCTGCTCGTTACCTGAGTCTCTGCTCGTTACCAGAGTCTCTGCTCGTTACCTGAGTCTCTGCTCGTTACCTGAGTCTCTGCTCGTTACCTGAGTCTCTGCTCGTTACGTCTCTGCTCGTTAATCAAATCAAATCAAATCAGGTTTTATTTATAAAGCACATTTA